TGCGGCGTCATCTGTTATGAGATTTTATTTTAAAAAGTTTTTACATTACAGTATTAATTTAAAATGGCAAAAAGCTTAATTCTGAAGGTAAACGAGTTTTATATATATAAATATAAATTTGTAAATGATAATGAGTAAAATCTTCATTAAGTCCGATCCCACTCGATATATGACACGACCCCCTTCTCCTACTCCTCGATCTTTAACCACCAAAATTTAATATAATCAATTCCCGGAAGACGCAAACCTCCCTGAAAAATTTCAGAAATTTCCGGCAAAAGGCATAAGAGTTACTAAGCTTCAAAGTGAGAGAACAAAATTGTGCTTTCCTAAACACTAACATTCATATACACGTGTTTCTTCAACTTTTTTTGTCTCACCGCACACTTGAATCTATAATTAAATTCCGCGGCACAAATTTGGGCGGAAAAAAATTCACGTGATTTAAAGTTGTGTTTGTAAACATTCTACCTCCACATTACTTGCCACTTAACCTAATTCTTTTTGCCTATATTTTTTGTGAATTAAATAAAACAGTATTGTTAAAATAGCAGCAGGCTTCAATAATAGTTATTTAAATTAATAATTTTGATTTACATAAGAAAAGCAATTAAAATTGTCTTAATCTGCACTTACAAGTGGCGAGATAATTGCCTTTAGAAACCTGCTCCATGTCCTGCCATTTCTAAGTTCAAATAATTTAAACTAAATATGGACAATTATAGATACATTTTTGATTTTAAAAAATTTCATTTTAAATGAAATAATCCGGTGTTATGCACGTATAATTTTGCTTGTGAATACACATTTTTTACTGCATTAGGTGTACTTTTATGTAATATAACAATGAAAAACTCTTACAGTCAATTTAAAGGTTTTAATTTTGGCATGTACACTTATTGTTCTTTTCATTTCTTTCCAAAATAATTTCTTTAATAACTTGAATTTTAGTAACTTAACCTGTTTTGGTTAACTTGAACGTTAGTAAAGATAATCTATATGAAATCCGTTGAGTTGAGTTGAATCTTAAAGTGCATGTGCACTCGATAAACTTTCAAAGACATTTTTCTCGGAAACAGAGCATCATATGAAAAAATTTTATTCCATATTTTCAATTCAGTATTTCATGTTGAATTACTACTTTCTGGCTTATACCACCAATTACATGACCAAAGATGTACAGTACAAAGATGTCAATATTGATACAAAAATACAGACGGCCAGATGGCCGAGGAGTTAAGGTGGCAGCCTACTGCTCTGGGGGACTCAGGATCGAAAAATTCCCAGGAAATTTTCACAAGGTGGTCCATCCGGATATGTTGGGCCCCATCCCTCACCTCCCAGCCGCTCCATTGTGGGCCTGGCCGAACCCGTAATGGGCCTGCTAAAAAGTAGTGACCACAGGGCAAAAAAGCCTGTGGGCACTAAAAGAAAAAAATGACAAAAATACATTTATAGTTTAATTTATTGGGAGAGTGAAGTGTAGACAATTTTCTATTATTTTTATTGTTTTTTATCTTAGCAAATATTTTAAAAAAATAATCATTATTATAGGAATTTATCGCACTAAATAAATAATCACACTTAAAAAAATAATCATTATTATAGGAATTTATCGCACTAAATAAAAACAGTACAATTTTTTAACTGTAAAAATCATTGTGATCATATGTGTCTGCAGAGGGGACAAACAAAACACTTGTGCTCTCCTAGGATTAAACAAAATGTTCCACAAATTATAATCATAAAAGTGATTGAGTCATGTAACCTTACACCCTTCACAAAGGAACACTTTGATGCAATACCAACTTTTTCAACTGTGGTTTCTAATTAAACCTCCATATTGACAAAATTGTGGACTTGTTAGAAAATTTTCAATTCCTTTTTTAAAGTTGTACCAAAATAAATATGATTTTTTATTTTAAAAATAAGTGTTTCAATCTGTTCATCAATCAATACCTGAATAATATGAAACTATAATTATCATTTTCAATATTATGGTCATTTAAAATTTCAATATTAGATGATCTATCTAAAATCATAAATAGAATAATTGTTAGAAATACTATATCTTGTTATTGGATTGTAATTTTAACCTAAAAATTATCAAATTGTCGTTAATAAACAGTTTATTAGTAACTTAATCAAATTACATAATTTATAACAATTTATACATTTGCATTTTAAAAACTTAAATTATTTTCAATCATTCATTCTATAAAACTTAAAATGATACAAATATATCCTTTGATTTATCATTTTAATTATAGATGATAATTAAAATTCAGCATAATAAACTATTGCAATGCTCATTTAGCATATTTACTGTGTGTTCATTTTAATAAATTAAATAATCATAAACATGGGTGTCTACAGAAAATTTTCCAGAGGGGCAAAGCTTAAAGACAAATAATTACATTGATAACTTTATTTAATTTTTTTCAGGTTTTTTTCACAAGTAGATTATAGAATTTGGTATTGCATCAAAGTGTTCCTTTGTGAAGGGTGTAAGGTTACATGTCTCAATCACTTTTATGATTATAATTTGTGGAACATTTTGTTTAATCCTAGGAGAGCACAAGTGTTTTGTTTGTCCCCTCTGCAGACACATATGATCACAATGATTTTTACAGTTAAAAAATTGTACTGTTTTTATTTAGTGCGAACTTTATACAGTATAAATAATAATCAGACATTGAGCATATGTAAGTTTATGAAAATTATCCTTTGGCAGTGCCACATGATTGGGCCTAGTATAGTATAATGGTGGTCTCAGTTTACCTAAGTTTGCAATTGGAACCAAGTGGCAAGAAACAGTCCAACATAACTGGAACAGATTGCCCATGAAAAAATTCCTGGAGTTCCTTGGCTGTCAACTTTGATAACATCTAAACATAACTTCTTTCAAACTGTTTGGATCAAGTAGATTTATATGAAGTAATTTTTATTGAATTATCAGACTTCACACCTTTGCAACTTCATTTTCAGTTATTGTCAAACAGTATGAAATTCTACTGGTCCTTTAATCAGTTCAATTATATTAATTAAATCCTACTAGTACTGCTCAATTAACAAATCAATCAAGTAAGTCAACAAAAACTTCTATTTATTAAAGAAACAGAAAATTATCTTGACTATACAATATTTATTAGAATTGAATTTAAAGAACTTGAGTTCTTTATTAAAAGTAAAATTGGTAGCTGGATTAATAACCTTATATCTAGTCTACAGAATAAAACACAGTTTAAATGTTTTCAGTCTAAACAGAAGGTCTTCTTCAGGAACCAACAAGTTCTAAAAATGGAACCAACTTCATGTTCACATTATAGAATGTGAAGTTTAAAAACTTAAAACAATGGAATTCTAGGATAGAATGTCTAGGAATAGTGTCAAAATTAGCAAATTTTATTGGATGCATACTGGATCACAATGATGGATCATAACAGGCTTGCCATGCTCTGGAAACTAATTTCTCTGCTTGTAATTGATTCAACTACCCTTTAATATAGCTTTAAAAATTTTCAGTGCTTCCATATCTCTAACGTGTCCAGCCCTTGCTGTCATCCTGAGAAGAGATACATATTGCAGCAATGGAAATATCTTCATCTGAGACATAGAGAGGGTAGTGGTGATTTTCTGTGTATTATGTCATACTCATGTTCTTTAACCTGTTTCAAGGGTCATTATTGAGAGATATGTGATCTTAGCACAATATAGTAATGAACTATATTTTCTTCAAGCTGATTAAAGAACATGTGTAAACAAATTGAAAACATATTACAAGTGCACTGGTACAAAATGCACTGAGAAATGTCTATAATATTCAATTTCATATCACTTAAGTTTTTTGAAAATACAAAAATGTCAGTAATCTGACATTTTCAATAATCCAGCATCATTCTGGTTCCATGAATGACAGTTGAACAAATTTATACTGTAGATCAGGCCTGGCCAACTTATAGTGGAATGTGATAACTTTTATGAGTTAAGCACTAATGATCTACTTCATATTGCTGTTTTATAATACCTACCCTAATAAAATTTATGCTGCAAAACATATTTATATTTATTTATTGCACAGTAATTAGCATTCCATATTATCTTCTTTTGAGTAAATATACCAAACATAAATTAAATGACACCATTTATATTATATCATTAACAAAAAAGAATTTTACTTCTTTCATTGCCCAAATCATAAATTTTGCTCTTCTTTAGTTTGTTTTTGCTTAACTGAAATTGCTTAGGACACAAAATATTTACTAAAATAACATAACCTAGCATTGATCTTTAACAAAGAGCACTTCTTTGTATCCACCCAGGTGTTATGGAGCATTATCAACTCATAGCAAATACTTAAAAGATTTCTCCATGAAAAATGTGGATTTAATACTCCTACCAAAATTAAACCATGCTTTTGTGTATTAACAGTGCCATACTTTCTGTGATAAACCAAAAATGACACACTGATTGATTGACATTGTAGATGAATTAAAGAAAATAATAATAGTAAAATTTCAAACAGTTTATTTTATCTTTCTACATTTTCAAATGATATTACAGAAAAAAGTAAAATTCACAAAGAGGATAATCACAATTTATTATACATCAAGTAAATTATGTTAAGAATATACAGTTTTATTTTACAATTTTTATGTTTTATTTTAATTTCATTAATTTCACAACTCAAGTAAATAAAGATAATTCTGTAATGAGAAATGCTAAAAGAAATAATCTCTTATTCGTGAAAATAATAAATTTCTTCAACAAGATAAAATGTATTGTGCAAAATTTATTAACAATATTTAATTATTATTATTATTATTGTTATTTATACAATTATTATTTTTATTTTTAACTATAAAAACTTTTGAAATTTTTAAACAATTNGAATAAAGTATTCCAGAGGGAAACAGTGTGATTGGTTTCACAACAGTCTCTTTTTTGCAGAAATAGAATAAAAACACCAACTCCCTCAAAAAGATTACTTATAGTTTTGGTCATAAGTCAATATTATAAGGAGTAAGACTCGAATATAAATATCATATAAAATAAAATCAGTTTTTTTAAAATAACAATTGAATTGTTTTGAAAGGTTAGAGTGCCATGCTTCAATAATTTGAGATGATGCTGAGCACTTGACAGTGCAATTGCTGTGCTTTTGTGGTGCAATGATAAATGTTATTGTTATTTTTTGTTAACTGCACATTTTAAAATAATTAATCTGTTAGACATCTTGACTAGTGCTTCCTTTTTTGGTTTTGCCAATTTCACGCTTCTGCTTGTGAGTCTGTGACGAACTGGTGCGTGAAGTCCCAGAACTTTTACTTTGATTAGAGAGAGTGGAGAGTGTTGACATATTTTCCAACATAGTAAAGATGGCAGAAGGTGAAACGTCTAATCTAATTAAATCTACCAGTATTCTATAAAAAAATTAATATTCTTAAGTAACTGAAACTTAATATCTTAATTAAATTACTTTTTTACTATAAAAGAAGAATACCAAAGCTATAAATTAAAAAAGAGATGATACTGTGTATAGGATTTTATTCAAGTTAATTTTAACAAATTTATTGGACTGCAATTTGAAAAATTGTAGACCACTGTCATCCATTTGTCTGTCTTTTCTTAATCTTGAGAATGGAGTTAGACAGATGAAAGACGAGACCATATAAGGAAACCTTAATTAAGGACAGGAAACCCCGATTAACTATATACGAACTTCTGATGCAAACTGGAAGTCATGTTATTTAATTCAAAAATTTTTTCCTGAAAGATTTTAGATAGATGACTGGCATGACTCTATTGTTAAAGGAAAAGTATTATGTACAGAAGCAAGCCACTAATAATCTGAGGTGGAGAGCATGTATTTTAAATTAAATAAATTAAAAATGCAGCCCGGCATTGTGACAATGTCACAATAAATAATTGCTCATTAGGATTAGTTCATCCTAATAGTAGCTGAAATTGGACAATAAAGTAGCTCAAAAGCTTTCTGGAATTTAAAAATAGCTTTTACACCATTCATTATCACTAAGGGAGGAACAGTTTATCCTTGTCTTCAAGTTTGTATAATAACAATAAAGTTGTGCCAGTCATCTATCTAAAACCTTTCAGGGGAAAATTTTTAATTGAAATAACGTGACTTCTGGTTTGCTTTGGAAGTTTGTATGTAGTTTGGCTGTAAGATATTTTTCTAAATTATTTAAATATAGTATGTCTCTGGGTTAGAATGTTTGTTGCTTGTACATTAAGTGTTATATATTAGTGTTAGAGGCCCTGATATAACATTAAGTGTTATATCAGGGCCTCCTGCAACTAAAGTTTCCCCATCTTGTCTCATCTTTCATCTATCTAACTCCATTCTTGAGATTAAGGAAAGACAGATGGACAGACACATGACAGTGAGAATTTACAGGTCTACAATTTTTTCAAATTGCAACTCAATGAATTTACATACTATTTCAAACATTTTATGTACTATTGTTAAATTGTATGCATTATTATTTTTTATTGAAATTTCTGTTTCATTAATGTTTATTTTTATTTATTTATTTATTATTATTTAATATATTTTATTCATATATTTATTATTTTTAATGTTATTTTAAATTTCTTGTTCTTATTTTAATTTAAACATTGCAAAATTCAATTTTTAAATGTATTCTTTCATTCAAACTAACCAAAAACATTTTTAATTTTAATAAATATGTTGCTAGGGTTAAGAAGATGATTTTTATTTGTATTAACACTTTTCCTAATTTAATACCACCATTTTGGAAATACAAATTCAAAATGTCTAGGTTAAATGTACTAAAACATTAACATCAAACTAAATCAATGGTGCCCAAACTTTTTAATTGACAGGTTCCAGTTAGAAAAGACACAAATAATTTCTATATTCAATATATATCAAAGATAGGTCTATTTCTATATGATGTGTCAAATATATAGGTTAGATTAACGTATACCACAATCTGGATTTGGCCTATGGCCTGTAGTTTGGGCACTGCTGAACTAAATAATGATCAAGCTAATAACTTTTTGAAATTAAATCAGTAGCCTTTTTTAATCATTGAAAACAAGGATAAACTGTACAAAACTTGTACAATCAGATTATAAATCTAATATTACTAGACTCAACTGACTACGATCTTGTATTACTTGTACTGCTATTGTTTACAGTTAGCTTAAAACCATGAAGGATTGTGGATATGACATTCTAGTCAGTGCAGTGATTACTCTACATGGATTTATGGTCATATTTAATTACAAACTGGAAATGAAGATCAGACAAAGATCTTCACTGGTAATATATCTGCACATTAGGTGAAAGATATAGGCTTGAGCTCCATTATCAGTCAATCTTTTTTTCCAGAAATTTCTAGTCCATTTACTTTAATCTAAGTTTATTTCTAATTATTATATACTTATATTATATTATATACATAGTATATAATATATAATCTGTGTTAAAAAAAGATTGTTAAGGTTAAATTACTAAAAAAATGTCTATAAAAACTAAATGTAAAAAATATTGAAATTTAATAAGATACCTCATAGTGATTAGTTAATGATTAATCATTTACTAATCAATGTCAATCTGAATCAATTATACAATCTCAATTAATCATTCATTGTTAATTGGCTAACTTGACAATCAAAAGGAATATATATAAAAAAGGAATATATACATGACTTTTTTGTAGATTCCTTTTTATACACTTAAGAAAGGCAAGGATTAAAAAGGCCTATGCCTAAAATGCATTTGTTACTTGAATAAAGTATTCCAGAGGGAAACAGTGTGATTGGTTTCACAACAGTCTCTTTTTTGCAGAAATAGAATAAAAACACCAACTCCCTCAAAAAGATTACTTATATTTATTTTCAATTTAATTTTAAAACTATCAAATAATAATTTCATTATGAATTTATTAATTTCATAATAATTTCAAATTGCAAATTGTAGGAACTGCTAGGACTACTACTATATAAAAAATAGGAACTGCTGAACACTACTGCAGAGACTATAACACCAGTACAAGATGAAACTGAGTATGGGAAATCAAAGCAAACATGTTTGATTGGAGGTATAATATTGCATTAATGCAACAGCAAGTACAGTACACACCTATATTAGGTATAACATTTTTGACATACCTTAACAGAAATAGTTTGTCAATAGTTTCTGATGCCCAACTTTCTTCAACCAATAAGATGCAAGCCAAACTCATAGCCAATCAGAGAAAATCAGCATTAATTGTAATTGCATACTGTATTGCAAGAGATGTTTCTCAACTACAGTTTATGCTATCAAAATATAGTTACTGAATTTTGAATTTAGCTTTTGAATTTGTAACTGACACTCAAGTCCATAATTTGAGATATAGAGGTTTTGGGAAAATACCCATGCCAATGGTAGAGGAAGTTAGACTGACAATTAAGAACCTGAAGAATAATAGGGCACCAGGGAGCAATATTGCAGCAGGGATGATTAAGTATGGGGGTGAACTGTTGATGCTGCTTGTTCACCAATTGACAGTGGAGGTATGGGAAAAGGAAGAGATGCCAGATCAGTAGAGGTTGGCTGTTGAGTGCCCAATTCATAAGCAGTGGGACAGAGCAATAAGTGAAAACTATCATGGTATATCTTAACTTAGTACTGTGTATAAGGTCTTAGCTAAGGTCATGGTGAGGAGGCTCACTTCACTAGTAGAAGAGAGACTGGGTGACTTACCTGTGTGGATTTAGGCAAGTTAGATCAATGATATATCACATCTTCACTATAAGGCAAATAATGGAAAAGAGTTTAATGTGGATGTTCACTAGCTGTGTGTGGATTTTCAGCAGGCTTACGATATTGTGAAAATGAGGTCCTTGTACCAGACTTTGATAGATATGGAGTTTCCATCTAAATTAATCAGATTGGTGAAATGACTCTCACAAGCATAAAATGTCATGTCAAAGTAGATGGAAACCTCACTAAAACAATTGAAATTAATCAAGGTTTGCAGCAGGGTGATGTGTTATCCACACTGCTGTCTAACATAGTTCTGGAGAGAGTGATGAGAGTGGTTGAGAGAAATTCACCAACTAGCAATATTTTCAACTGTGTCAGCCAAAATTTAGCTTATGCTGATGATGTTGGCATGCTGTCCCATAGCCTGGGAGAGTTGCAGGAAGGATTGGGTAGATTGGAAAGGGAGGCAGAGGAATTGGGGCTTCATGTGAACCATAGTGAAGCACAGTAAAACACAGTACTTGCTTTTGTCTAGGAAAGTTGCTGCGAGGGAAGACAAATACATCAAGTTAAATGGTGTCAACTATGTGACATGTGAGAACTTCAAGTACTTGGGAGTACTGGTAACTAGTGATAACAACTTAAAAGATATAAAAGCAAGGATTGCAACAGTAAATAGAGCTTACTGGCCCTGATTAGAATTCTTAAATCCAGTAGCCTGTGTAAAAGATTGAAGGTGGCTGTTTATTGCACAGTTATCAGACCAGTGGTGATGTACAGTTTGAAAATATGGACAATGATTGTGGCTATGGAGGAATTCTTGAGAAGATGGGAGAGGAAAATTCTAAGGAATATATTTGGGGCAGTGAGATTGTTGGGGCATGTTAAGCAAATGTCAGATGATAGATCTGCCAAGATCTATAGAGAAATCTGGGTGATAGGAGATGTAGAGGAAGACCATGGAAAGCAATGGCTGGATGATGTGGAGGATGATTTGAGGAAGACAAAGGTTGGTGATTGGAGGAAACATCAGAAGATCATGCGGAAGTGGAGAAGATTGTCAAGATTGGGCTGCGATTGTCAGAGAGGCCAAGACCCTACATGGGCTGTAATGCTGAAGAGTAGTAGTAGTAGTAGTAGTAGCAGCAGTAGTAGCTAAGATAGGAAATGTTTAGCTAGCAATTAAAGTGTAAATAACTAAGTAATTGGAACAGAACAATAAACAAATATTCTTTTGCTATCTCATAAATTAAAATAAGAAAAGAGTAAACGTTAAGAAAACAAAGAAAAATTTTATTTTGAAAAATAATTAAAAAAACAAAACATGGTGAAGTCAAACGTTAAGAAAACAAAGAAAAATTTTATTTTGAAAAATAATTAAAAAAACAAAACATGGTGAAGTCAACGATCATGAAACATGTAATACAATAAATATTTAAAAATACATCATAAGTAAATTACCAATTTAATTACAGTTTAGTTTCAAATATCTTCTAAAGACAAGGTATAAAATTTTATTACAAATAATATTGCTGAAAAGTAAAATTTTAAAGTAGCTTAACTGACTTTAATATGAAGATGAAATAATATTCTTATTTATATATTTTAATATATATAAAAAATATGTTTTTAAATATCTGTAAATTTATATACATATCTATTTTTTGTTAAATAATTTATATTATAATAGTAATTTAACACTATTATAATATAAATTTTTTAACAAAAAATTCATCTTTTAGGCTTTTGTAAGATTTTAAAATTATACATGCCTACTATATTTGTAAGTTTGAATCAATCTCTGATATTCAAAATTTTATTGTGTTTTGTTTAATTTGTAGGTGTTGAAAGATCTGGTAATACAATGATAGCCTCAAAAAACATTTAATCTTATAAAACTTGTTGACTCCTTTAATGTTTAGCATTTCATTATTTGTTAAAACTATTATTAAATGTAAAAAAATCCTTACTTGAACACTTGTGGATTCATTGTCAAGCCACTGGAACAGGCAAGTTCATAGAATTCCAATTCATTAGAATTTAAAATATTTTGTACCATTTGATGACTGTGAGTTTTTGACGATGATGAATGATTTGCTCCAGTCATTCTGCTTCAAAATTATTCAATCATATCTTTTCTGAAAGATTTAATAAATATTTATATAACAATTAAATTAGTACTTATAAATAATTTTTCCAAATTTCCTTACACACAACATTTTCAGACTTCAAATCATGTATTCAACAGATATACAATTTATTTCTTTTGTATATTCAAAGTTCTTCAAATACATATATTGAAATGTATCTAACATTTAACGTTTTATGAATTCTCTCAATTCATACTAATGTCTTCCAATTCATATTCAATTAAATGGAACATTTCAATAATTTGAATTTCAGCCTTTGTTTAATAATCTAAATTTAAAAATAAATCTCAATTTAAAGTTCTAAATTAATTTTTTTTCTTTTTTTTTCTAAATATCAAACTTCTAGATTCCCATATCTATAAATTTTAATTTCTTATATAATTTCTTACCATGTAAAATATACTAATTATCTCTTAGTCTTTAATAACTCTTTTCATTCATTCTTTCCATACATCAGTAACATCAATATCTTTTGTATTAATTAATCATTTCTTTTCATAATCTCATTTCATATACAATTGAACCTGTTTATATTGAATCTCGAATGAATGAGAAAACATTCAAGATAGACAAGTTTTGAGATGTAGAGGTTCCTCATAGTAAACAATAATAGGTTTAAGATTAAAACTGAAGACAAAATCTGTCTTCAATTTTAATTTTAAACTTAAACCATCCAGTTATAAAAATTGAAAAGAGTAACAGGTTTGATTGGTGGTATAATATTGCATTAATGCAACAGCAAGTACAGTGCACACCTATATTAGGTATAACATTTAGACATACCTTAACAGAAATAGTTTGTCAATAGTTTCTGATGCCCAACTTTCTTCAACCAATAAGATGCAAGCCAAACTCATAACCAATCAGAGAAAAGCAGCATTAATTGTATTTACATACTGTATTGCAAGAGATGTTTCTCAACTACAGTTTATGCTATCAAAATATAGTTACTGAACTTTTGTATTTGTAACTGACACTTCAGTCCATAATTTGAGGTGTAGAAGTTTTGGGAAAATTATTTGAGATTAATATGGAAAATAATTGAATTTAGGATGAAAATATTGGGGAAAAAATAAATTTTGAGATAGAGGTTTTTGAGATAACTAAGTTTAAAATAGACAGGTTCAACTGGCTGATATCATCAAAACCCACTATTGGCTGCCAAATGAATAAAACCATTGTTTGTGTTGATTTAAGCTTAACCAACAGGCTGGTCATGCAGAGTTATCTGGGTTTTCTTGATAAGTCAATACCTAAATAAGGGCCGGTTTCCTATAGAAAGTCTTCCTGGGAAGCACTTCCTTGACAGATCGTCCACACATTGCCATATCTTATCAAATCATATACATCAAATTTTCTACTGGTTATAAAAGATACGGTGTATTTTTTAAACAGAATTTTAACATCTATTTGAGCCATCTTTAATTAAAGGATTTTTATAAATATCTTATTTTATGCATTATAATATTGCAACATATTTGAAATATGTCATAAAAAAGATAAAAAGATATGTCATAAAAAAGATGTCATAAAAAAATATAACAGTTTCAAATACTGTACATCTGTTGTCTCTTAACTAAAACCTTCCTATCTTCTCAAAGAGAATATTTCTACTCAAATTATTTGAAACAAAAATTTTTTCAAGTCATTTAGTAGCTTAATTAAATATCCCAATATGTTCCTTTCTCACATTCTATTTTGGAACTCTTAAATTATAAAAAATGCTAAATAATTTGTTAATCAAGATGTTTTTTTTCCTCATTGAATAATTTGATTTAATAAAATGATTGATGTAGCTTGGCTCCTCTAGCCCCTTTTGACCAGCCATCTCTGGTATGAACTGGTACCCTTTTATTCTAACTTCTAACAGTCTGGAGGCAAAGCTGTTATATGATATCAAATGCTCCACTAAGGATGGACATCTCTAGTGGAGGCAAGTTATATGTCCATCATATTATTGTTGTTATCTTTATCATTGCATAATACTATGGCAGTCAGAATGTTTAATGTTTTTTATTTATTGGATGTTTTATGCTCCTGAAAATGAGCCATAAAAGCATAAAGACACTTAAAAGCATAAAGACACTTGAAATGGAGTCACTAAATACTTAAATGTATTTAGTGACTCCATTTCAATAAAGCATAGTTTTCTAACATTGTCAGTTTTGATTGAAGTTCTGGAGATATCTAGCCACAGCCTTCAGAATGGAATTATTAATATATACAGTATATCATTTGAATTGAGGTTGATTTTTTTTATAGATAAATAATAAACTAATTCTCTTTATTTTTAACTAAAATATCTAAAAAAAAAAAAAAATACAAATATTTAGTAGAAACTGTGTTTTTATTGTAATTCCTACTTCATCTTTATTTGTTATTGATTAATTTCTGTAACTAAATGAACACAATGCTTGATGCTCATAAATGATTTTGGTAATCTAACATTTAAAAATATAACTTAGGACAGCGGCAGCCTTATCCATTGCGAGGCTCTGGGCGGCAGATCTTTGCGAGGCCCTGGGCAGCAGATCTTTGCGAGGCCCTTGTCCTTTGTGCAAAGTATGTGAATTGAAATAGTAGGCACTTATTAATATTAATATATACTGTATTATAAATTAAATTTATTTTATTGTTATAACTAATAGCCAAGGATAAAATAAAAAGTTTTAAATATCAACTTTTTTCTACTTGGTTGTTGCGCGAGGCCCCAGGCCATTGCCCTGCTCGCCACCCCCTAAGGCCGCCACTGACTTAGGATATTTAAGTTACAGTTCTAATTCTTTTAGAGACTGGAGATTATAATATAAAATAGAAATCACCACAGAGGAACCTTAAATTACTTCCAGTAAGCATTTCTTTATAACTAACATTTTAAGATACCGATATTCCTTTTTCATATTCCATTTTGAACTCTCTGACCTGATGAAGATCTCATATGCAGATTGAAAACATAAGTCAAGTTGTGCCAACTAATTTATAATCTAAATTATTGTCACAAAAATAAAAATAATTTTCAACAAAAACATATATTTACTTTGTTTAATAAAAATAATTTCTCAGTGAATATTAAGGTGTTGGTTAAGTTTGTATTTATTACTTCTGCTGAGTACGAGAGTGGTTCATATATTTACCATTGCATTCTATTGTATTTGGAGCTGATCCTCAGATAAATAGCACAGGCATATTTATCTGTTATAGGACTTTGTCATATTGTGATAGAATTGAAGTGAAACTGGAAGAAAAGAAGCAATCCATGCACCTGTTAGGCACAGAAGCTACAATCCTTGTACAAAACCTGAAGGATGCACACAGGTGAACTTTGCACTTGCCACAACAAGAGGCTAGGATTGTGTCTCCCATGCCTGCAGGACATGAGAGAGACAATCCTTGCACTGACCAAGTACAGGTACATCGAGAAGACGATTCAAGAAAACATCAATAAATGGCAATTGTTTTGTTATTGTGAAAACACAACAAAGAAATCACCATCGATTTTGTTCATTTTTCATATTTATTTTCTGTTGGGAATGTAATACTGTTTTATTTTTGACCTTGAAATGTCGAGAAATGCAAAAACATTCAGTTTTTTTCCCTGTGTATGTGTGTGTGGGATGGCACAATTTTGTTTACCCTCTTTGAAGCTTAATAACTCCCGTGCTTTTGAAAATTTCTGAAATTTTGCAGGAAGATTTGTGTATAAGAAAGATTCATGCTATTAAATTTTGGTGGTTTAAGGTCAACGGGATGGGTAGATACAGGGTGGTCGTGTGTCATATCTCATGTATGGTTGAACTTAATGACAATTTCACTCATTATTACCATTTACAATTTTTTATAAAACCCATCCCTACTCTTAAAATTAAGCTTTCTGCCATTTTATAATAATTAAAAATGTAGTTTTTTAAAATGAAATATCGTAACTGATAGCGCCACCAGAATTTTAAATGTTGCCAAGAAAGTTAAGTGATTTGTTGCGAGATTTTTTACATTTAAATTGACCCATATTACAATTCTGGATTCCTCATCTCAATTAATGGAAAATGGCAATGTTTAATCAAAATCTATCAAACGGATTTTGATAACAAACACAATTCTGTAAGCTTCATAGAAGCTTTGCTAATGCTCTGCTTCAATTAGATAATGTTTTAAAGATTAGATAAGTTGGCATACTGATGGAATATGCATGAATTTACATTGAATTGGGTCCAGCTCAGTCAGGTCCTATTTCCAGTGTACTCTTAATTACTTATTTTATGTATATAAGTGTACACATTGCTTTGTTTTACAATTTTCTGCACTTTTTTTTTACTGATTCAGCAGTAATTTATAATTAATACATTTACTTTTTTCCCATCTTATTTTGTGACTTATAAATATATATTAAATTAATAGTTTATGTTCTGTTTTTACTCATTTCATTACAGAATTCTTATTTATCACATATGTTTCAATTTTAAATACCTTTTAAAAATTTTTGTTGGTTTTAGTGACTTTTCATTTTACTAAATTATCAATGCCAACATATTTTGAATTTGTCATCATGGTCTTTGTAACTTTGCTGATTAATACTATAGATCTATATAAACAAATAAATAAATCATGCAAAAATATTATTGTTATGTTAAAATTTTGATTTTTTNAGTTCAGTGGGGACGCACGTTCTAACCTAACCTAACCTAACGTATTCTAATAAAATATTCGAGATCTATATAAACAAATAAATAAATCATGCAAAAATATTATTGTTATGTTAAAATTTTGATTTTTTTTTATTATTAATCTAAATAACTTTTTTAACTTGACCCCACATTTTTTGGGTTTTTGATAATGAATGGTTCAACTATAGCACTGCCCTCTCATCCATTCCCTCACTTGAATAATGAGTGGCAATGGCTAACACTTAAGCACACAAATTTTAATATAAACAAACATTTTCAACCACATTTAGGGTCTTTCATCAAATAAGCGAACCATTCTGTAAGTCAAATAAGTTCCAAAATTATATGAAAACTAGTTAAAATACAAGAGCACGCCTGTATATAGATCACTAAACAGAGAACTAAATGATTTAGATAGTGACCAGACATTCTGTTTTCACATCTCTTTACTTCACAACTGGATGCATAGTTAGACACTGGACATCTTTAACATCACTCTCTATTGACAGGCTGTTCAGTGCACTGTTGGGAAATTTTAACTGTAAATATATGTATTTTAAAAAGGATGTGCATTAGTTAGCACCTCTTTACTAAATGTCTTAAAGAAAAAGCCAACGGAAGAGGGACATATGCCAGGTATGCATATTGGAGTGAAAGATATTCCCGAATAAAGAGTGATGTTAAAGATGTCCAGTGTCTACTATGCACCAAGTTGTGAAGTAAAGGAGAATTAAAAGAAGACACAGTTTTGGAATAAATCAACTGTTTTCATATATTTTGTTCCTCTTTTCTCAGAGTAAATAATCAAGATGTCTCAATGTCCCACCATGCAATTTTGACTGAAAACTAGAGTTATTATAAAACATATAGCTATTCAATAATACAAACAGTGGCAGAACTATAATGGCACAAAATGGATTGGCAGAACCACGACCCAGAGCCAACGAGGAACCAAACGTGTCACACAAATGGCCTATAAACTCGGGTGGTTCTTTTCTCAATTGAGGGCTAAAGGAGAATAGACTCGCATTAGAATTTCAAACCATGGCCAGAAATAAACTTTTTTGCCTCTAATACAAAGTAAATATTTTGCAAGGAAGTGAGAAACCATGGTTTTCAATACAGTAGTACAAAGTTTATTACAGTATGCATTTGCACAATAGGTAACAGTTGGAATATGTAAAATAAAAACAATCAGTATGCCATGTCAGGTGAAAGCAAAATTGCTGAATAATTTCGTAAGATTATTTGACATTTTCGTACCCACAGCGGTGTCTGACGAGTGCCCCAGTTCAGAGAGCTAAAAATAAAGTTATCCTTTAAACTGTTGATCAACTTGAAATTTCACAGAAAGGAGAAATAATTGGAGAAATGGCTTCAAATACTACTAAAAGTTATTTTAGTACATTTATGAATATACTGTACTTACAATACATAGACCAAAACACCAAAAAGTATATAAACGAATTGAATGTTCATATTCAAATATAGTGACTCTATATCATATTTATATTGTTACCTCTTTACTTCGAACCAATCAACGTAGTCTATAGTTTTTACATTTGAAACACGAAAATTATTTTAAATATTTATATTTCTAATTTCCGGTTCCGACAGTTATGTATTTCCCGTTATTAACGGTAGAGGACGTAGCAACGATATTTCTTGAATTCAGGTTGCCATTACTTTTTAATTAATTTTAATAAATATTAATATCAAATATTAATTAATTTTAATATTATTAATAATTTTTAAGATTAATAGCTTATTATTAACACTTTTTAAAGTTCAATTTAAATACATATATATATTTTTTTTTTCCCAGGTGGCGTTAAGTAAACTTTCGTTTGGCGACTAAAGTTTTAAAGTGCTTATGTTTATAAATATGGAAAATATGACAGTTGATCACATTTACTATTTTTGGTGGTAATGTTTAATATGAACAGATTTTTAAAATTAATTTATCAAATGGAAAATTAAGTTCTGCAGTTTAGGAAAAATCAAAGAATGGTTAAAAATGTATTTATGTATTTGGAGAAATGATTCAATGAATATTATTTTTGTATTAATTTCCAGTAAGTTTATTATTATTATTGATTTTTATATTTAAACAGAAATAATGATTTTAGATTTATATTTTAAATGCCAATCACATAACTGTAGTTAGAAAGTTGAATTATGTGATTGGCATTAGTTAAGGTTAAGTTATATATGATATGAATGTATAACACAAAGCTGTATATTGCTGTCCTTGATTGAGTCTCTTCACAGAAATACTATATTAATTTTTATTTTTATAATTCAAATAGTAAATTCACTTTCATCATATATTTGTTATTTTTAAAGATAGGTTATGTAATGTTATTTAATTGTTGAAATTGAGCTGCAACATTTTGCTTGTTAGGGAGAAAATCCACAAATATGGCTTATGTTTGTCATCACTTTTAAACATATTGTGTCTTTTTTTGCTGGTCATTTTTTATGATGTGTCTTACATGTTCATAAAAACTTTCAGATGCAAGCAGTGGCATTATTAGGGGATTCAGACTGCACTGCACAAAGTGATACTAAAATGACGGTTAATGTTCAGGGTCGTAGACCATCATGGCGGCTCTTCCTGTTTTAGCCTCGAAACCGGACCGCTTTGGAGATGACATGTCACGTGACAACGCGAGCGAACAGCGGCGGCTGCTGCGCCGCGATAAACGGGGAAAACCGACGCGCGGGTTAACGTCCATATACGTAGACTCATGGCGGCTCATCTCTGATTCCGCAAAAAGAAAAGGAAACAGTGGGGACGCACGTTCTAACCTAACCTAACCTATTCTAATAATTTAATTGGTAATAATTGTGGTAATTTATTAGAATAGGTTAGGTTAGGTTAGAACGTGCGTCCCCACTGTTTCCTTTCTTGTCTTTGCTGGAATCGGCGATCAGCCGCCATGACAGTCTACGTATCTCGACTTGTACCAAGAAAGCAAACAGTGGGGACGCACGTTC